AGGTGAGGTCAGATTCAGAAGGGAACTGGTATTTTGGAAGGTACCTTCATAGGTAAGTAATACCTATCGCGGGATGCTTTTCTAAAATTAAATGTTCGCCCTTTAGTGGCTTACGAGTCATAAGAATCTGAATATAAAAGAGCAAAGAACAACAGAATAAGGCATAGCAACGGTTCAATACAAGCCGATGCTGTCTAAAACATAAAACGCTTTCCGAGACGGACCCGGGCTCGTTGCACGCGCTGAGTCTCACCGAGGCAGACGGGCTGGACGGGCGACGGCCGGCGTCGGACCGAGTAGCGCAGACTGCCTGAGCGGCGCAGTCCCTGCACCATCTCTCCGAACGACGACACCACCATGGCGGCACTCAGAGGCGGACCCGGGTCCTCAGCGACCGGCGGAGAGCGCACGGCTGCGGTACCGCCACCGAACGGGGCGCCGCACGTGCCGAGACGTGTGGGACGTCACGCCGGCTCAATGGAGCTATCTGCCTCACAACTCATACGCCGTGTGGTGTTCACACGAAAAGGTACCACTCTCCAGCAATAATTCTCTCACACCACGGGGCACTTCGCACGTGCCTGTTTTGGTCCGCAGCTGCTAGCGACCCGAGCGTACCAGCCGCCCTAGCCACTAAACACGGACTCGCACCTGCCTGTCCTTCGCGCAGACAGACCAAATAAGGAACAGGCCTCAGACCTCTCCAACACACAGCCTCGTTCAATTCACCCCACCGTCACAGCACCCGTCACGCCGCGTCACTGCATCACGGCCCATCGTCACACGACGGCCCACACGTCACTCCTCTCGCCACTGTCGGCGGCCGACTATCACCTGCGAGCCACCACCGAGCTAAGAACGCGACTACCTGACTTCCCACCGCAGCAACGCACCGGCGGAGACACCAGCGACAGTTTCACGCCTGGTGGCCGCTCGGTGAACCACGCGAGGGTTTTTAGAGGCCCACTTTATTGCGTGGAGGCGGGGGAGAGGTTATGAACGGACCAGATAACCTTGCGGAGTAGCTTCCGGCGATGCTGGTGAAATTGAGCGGTAACTTTATGCTGCAGAATAGCAAGTTAATTATACTCATTCAACTGGAATTTTGCATGATGGAAAAATTATTCCATGTTTTCATTATATAATATATATTTGCCCCCATACCCTGAAATATTTTAAAACTTAGACAAAGAAAAATTACCAAAGTTGGTTACGATACACGCAGGAAACAGCGCAATATTCTTATGCTAATTGCCCATCTGCAACATGTTGAGCGAGTGCTGGAAACTGAAAAGACAGCGATCGATTGCTAGGGGAAGATCACGGGAGCCTGGAGACCTGCACAGTACACAGTTGAGTGCACACTGCACAGCGCTTAGTGCCTTCTCCAACGCGTGCGTCAAGCCAAGAACAGTAGCCGCCACTGTGAGGGTCACTGACCCTTACCACATCCAGACGAGCACCGGGTGTCTGAGTGAGGACCGCCTTTTCCGGTCCTTTCTAATGGACCCAATCGGATGATCGCTAGACGGACTGCCGGGTCGAGGAAAGGACGGACAAAAACGGCCAAAGAACTGCGACCACGAGCGTGGACATCCCGACAAAACGCCGCTTCGTTCAACCTCAACAAAAAGCATAAAAAATGCACGACGTCCTTCGCATGCGAAATGCGAGCTTAGTCGACGCCGGCGATATAAAAAATGGAGAAATGTTGATCTTTAGATGTTATGTTGATTTGTCCTCGCCACCCAAAACAGCCGCATTTCATCACGTTGCAATACCTGTCGAGTTATTTCCAAATCTGGAAGCTAAGAGCGATCGGCACGGCTGTTTGGTCGTCAGGCGCCGGCGACTGGAAGTGGAGATCGACTTCGGGTGGCCACGAGATGGCCTCCTCTCCCGCCAAGGTCAGGGCGGCACACCGCCCAGCGAAGGCCGGACACTGGATCTCACCCGGAGAGGCGCCGAATGGCGGCCAGACATGCATAGAAGTGATGGAGGTTATGTTGAGATGCCGGTCTTTAACAGGTAAGATGACTGAGGTCAAACAAAATCGTGTTGAGTTAGCGATAACACGAAGAGGAATAATGGCTGTATGGAAATAAGAGTAACGTGAACAGTACCCTGTATCCCACATCATTATTCGTATGATAAAGAGGCAGAGATTTAGGATACAAGCTGGAAATAGGAAGATGTGTATTACACAATGTTTACAGCGATGCCGCTAAATTAGGACTTGTGCCATTGCTCAATAAAATAGTTAAAATTTAATGAAGTGGTCAACTTCGAAGAATGGCGTTTAGCCTGAGCAAGTAGCGGTAGGCATCCTCTGTGATTAGCGGTGGCATGCCTCATTCATTGCTATAACTCAAACGCAGCTTATATAAGAGACCAGTTGGACAGTAGTTACGTCACGTCACAACTTACAAAGAGCGCACGTCGAGGCATGAAATGGAGGTAACAAATGGTACATTAAACTAGCTCAACGACGAAATGATGGTATGTCTACTGTCTAGGAAAAATGTTTCGTGAATTTATTACGATATCTGATTCTCTGGCAAAGGACGACTGTCCTAAATCGGTACTAAAACTGCAAAAACACAGATACACACACAGCACCAAGAGTGGATTTTACAGGGCGCTGACGCTTACAGAGACCATAGAGGACGTTACTTACAGGACGCTTACTTACAGGGACGCCTGCCGGAGCGAGACCGGCTCAACCTTGTACCCATAGCCGGTCCCCGATGAGTGAGAAATGCACTTCGAGCGGATGGCGGTGGCAGGCAGCAGCTCTCGCGTAACACTGGTTTTGAACACAGAAAAGGCATCCACAGGGAGCACCAAGAAAGATCGGATGAACAAATAACAGGACAGGACAGACGCAAGATAGAGCAGGGCTTTTATCGAAGGCATATACAGATATGAATGGGAAGAGATAGCGATAATTTTGATAAGTGCCAGACGGAGATGACGCAACATGTGACAAAATCAGACATACCGCTTAGAGACATCCTTTAAACTATTTGTTAACCATACGGAAACATCTACCGGAACTGATGCCTGTCTGACCTATGATCTTCTCGCAATCAAGGCACGGCCCAAAACAGCTGTTTGATTCCAAACGGCTTTAAAGGCATTCCCACCATCTGATACGAACAAGTCGCCGGGTCCAGTGTCACCGCTCACCATTCACAATTACTGATCAAACGGAGCCACAGAAGACACCATCACCAACCACAGCCTCCAACCACAGGTATTTACTAAACACTACCTGAAATGTCTTACCGAGCAGCACACAGTCCATCCCAGACTGTAAAGGAAAGTAAGGACCCCTCGCTGCGAGCCTTTGCGACTGGGAGTTCTGAGGCATTCAATTCAGGCATTACAAACAGCAGACTGACCATGACAGCCACGAAGTCCCAGATAGACACGAAACTGCAGAAAATGCAGACAAGACACGATAAAGGATTTTGTTTGCAATTTTTTTTTTATAAATTTAGTCCGAATGGTTGAATGGGCGGATTTGAGGAATCAGAGCCCGTACTAAGCATAGCTTGTTGTGCTGACCCTGACCCCACCACCCGATCGCGCAATTCCATTTGTATGGCAGAATTTTGTCCGAACGTTTAACGTGCCCTCACGACTGGACACGGCCCCTCCGCTCACTCACGTTACCTGGCTTCTGTGCGGTCCCTGCCACAAACACGCACGCCATTACACGTAGGAACACAGAGAAAAAGTAGGAGCTGTGCATCGAACACAGAGAAAGACTTTGTTTAGGCTGAACAGGTCATTTCAGGGAGGGATGAGTCCCCCTCAGTGCAGCAATACGTAACAAATTATTGTGGATTTCAGACCAAATAAGTCTGGCACTGAGTGTCAATAACCGGGGAAGCATTTCCTAACGTGACATCCTTGACGCTAAAATCTGACAGTAACGTGGCAGCGTGACAGGCCTCAGATACATGACGAATTACTTCTATGCCGTCGTCACACATACCATTCATCTAAATTGATTATGTGTCTTGCACAAACAGACAGGAGTTGCTGCTTCGCGACTTAAAGCTCATTAAATCTCTCCATAAACGCAGCGAACAGCGCATACCACAAAAATGAGATTGTGGAAGTCTCGAACTTGTATGTCTGACCTCTGCGCACAAATCCATTGACCGTTTTGCCCATTTTGCACCCATAATCTCATTAAAGGCAATGTTGTGGTAGTTAAGCACCGATGCTGTTGAATCCCATCAATCTTCGGGCTCAAAAGGAGCATCATGTGCATGTCATATTGTCAACCTCATACATACATTGTCAACCTCAAATGCATGTCATATACATTTGTCAACCTCAGCCGTCCACTAATCTGCTAAATCCCCGGCCCGTCGACTGCAGGCTGCCCAAAGCGTCCGGCCTCCAGACAAAGGGTTCTCGGCTGGAATAAGAGTCGACTACGAAACCACAGTGTCGGCAGCAGTTCCAAACCTCCAACCACCAGGCGAGGAGTGCCATAGGTTGCTGATAAGGTTGGACTAGCCTTGTGGCCAGACAATGTGGTGTTTTAGTTGGAGGAGGATCGGAGTATGATCAACATACAAAAGATACAAAAGAGTATGATCGTGCGTGGGATGTCACTAAGATAATGTGCAGTGTGCGTCCTCCCCCTCCCCCGGATCTGTGTGCGCATTGTGAAAAAATGACCCGCCGTCTTGGGAGTTTTGGATGTGACCAGACTAATCGAACTGATTTGTCGCTTTACGAAACTTGTGTGAACCGGGGTCTGTGGTACTGAATTTGCATTATTGTAGCGGTCCGTACAAGTCTAGCGTTTCAGGTTAACATGTCTACCATCTGACAATCCTGGGCTGCTCCTTACGTCTCAGGGAGGTCTGTACTCGTATGTGACCTGTTACATAAGGCTGACCTGACATCTTGCGCAGAAGGTTCATTAAGTCGATATGATCAGCCCACTGCGCCTGGTCCTGTACCAAGGGTTCATCTCTTATGCGATTTCGACGTGTAAGACTGACCTGACGGTCCCAACAGTGAGCTATGGACTGTGGAACCGACCTGTCGGTCTCTGTGTGAGCTGTACAGAACTTCGTATCTCTGTGGTGACTATGGGGTGTTAGCCTGACCTGTATGAGGCCTAAGGGGTGCTGGACTGCGGGGTTTGAAAGTGACCTGCCGTCTCTCGCAGCAGCTGCATTGAGTCAGTGTTGTCTCCCCATCCCCTCGTTCGTCTTGTTCTGTCCCACGGGACTGACCTGCCGTCTCCCGCAGCAGCTGCACACAGCAGGCGTGGTTCCCTCCCCCCGTCCGCCCAGGCTCCGATTCTGTCCCACGGGAGTGACCTGCCGTCTCCCGCAGCAGCAGCTGCATTGAGTCAGTGTGGTCTCCCCATCCCCTCGTTCGTCTTGTTCTGTCCCACGGGACTGACCTGCCGTCTCCCGCAGCAGCTGCATACAGTCGGTGTGGTTCCCTCCCCCCGTCCGTCCAGGCTCCGATTCTGTCTCACGGGACTGACCTGCCGTCTCTCGCAGCAGCTGCATACAGCAGGTATGGTTCCCTCCCCCGTCCGCCCAGGCTCTGTCCCACGGGACTGACCTGCCGTCTCCCGCAGCAGCTGCATACAGTCGGTAGCATGCCTCCCCCCCCCCCCGCGTCCGCCCAGGCTCTGTCCCACGGGACTGACCTGCCGTCTCGCGGAGCAGCTGCATACAGTCGGTGTGGTCGCCCCGCTCGGCCAGGTCCATGGCCGTCAGGCCGCAGTGGTCCTTGAGCAGCAGGTCGGCGCCGCTCTCCAGCAGCAGGCGCACATTATCCAGGTGGCCGTGCTCGGCGGCGAGGTGCAGCGCAGTCTGTGGAACACACGGCACACTACTGACACCTGGCGGCGGCGGGCGGAGGCTGAGCTGCAGTCAGCGGCCGCTGGGTGGTGGAGAATGGAGATACTGGTGGTTTGTGGTTTTAGGTGACGTCAGCTAGACCACACGACCAGGCTCGATTCGTGTCAATAAACACGGCTGGAAGCGCGCCTTTCTCTACGGGCTGGACAGCGCAGCAGTCAGGCCGCTACAACCAAGGCCACAACCACAGTCCACAACCTTATAACAGCGACCAGCAAACAACTTCTAGGCGCCGCCAGGACATTCGTATGGCATCAAGACCCAATGAGTTGATACAGGGTTAAATAATTGTACTGGCTTCATGAATTGGGGGTTTCATAGCTCAGACAAAATCGGTGTCATTCATTCGCCTGACTCAGTAAGGAATATAGGGGTCAGCAATCAGCAATGGAACCAGACTATGCTTGCTGAAAAACGCGGCCTTGTCACCCCGTGACAGTCGGATTCGGTTTGGTATTAAGGAACTTCATTTCCATTATAAACAAATTGAGCTATTAATTATCTTTCGATAAGGCTACAACTTAGCGAAAACGTCGGTAACGTAATGCAATGCCGCCGATGTCACAGCTGAAAATACGTCGCTGATTTTTATCAGGTCATTCCGGATACACTACTCTGGCGATCTGAAGACAGGCCCGGGGGCCGGGCCACGCTTCTGTAGTTTTGACAATTAAACACGGACGACATGACGAAAGGAAGTTATTATTCCGGTCGGTTAGTTCCTTCATCCACTCCCGGATCTGATTCACTGAGCTCACGATCCCCACCCTGCGTTCTCTCTCCGTGTAACTCACAAACTCCGCCTTAGATTTCTCTCTCTCCGTCTCACTCACCCTGTACTCTCCCCGTGGTCCGCAGGGAACATCCGGGTCCGCTGGAACAAACGAAACCCAAGGTCAGGTCGCGTCCGGCAGCGTCAGGTCGCTGAAGGACAGTCAGGTGACAAGTCAGTTAAGTCAGGTCAGGCCAATGACCTGGCTGGTTTAATTCGGGTCCCGTATTACACTGTCATTCAAAACCAGCAACAATTCAAAAACTCGAACAAAAGCAGTTTGTCTAAAAAACAAATAACCGTAGGAGGGGATTGAGGATATACAGATCATATGGCATATAGCTATGCGTAAGCACATACACAACACTCATCCATTCATATTATGATGAATAAGCCGGAACCACGTCTAACATACATCTGCGATCGAACGGGCGGGGTTCGCCAGACAATAACCTCGATATTACGTCGTGCTGGGAAGGTGTGGCGATAGCCCGCGCACACTGTATCGCGGCGGTGGAGGCGGTGGCGGTGGCGGCGGCGGCGGCGGCGGGGGCGGCGGGGACGGGGGCGGGGGCGGGTCGATACGTCCGGCACCGGCCGGCGGCAACTGGACAGGCTGGACATGCATGAACGTGCCACATGCAGACTGCACCGGAGGGTTGAAACCATGAATGATTGCTTTAGGGCCGTGTGTTAGACCGCGTGAGCAGTACAGAAACAAACTTCCCGAACATCAACACAATGTCCGCAGTAGAGTCGAACAATGTCAACACGGAAGAGTTTATTTCGGTAAATATTGAAAAAAATGGTCGTCTTGTTTCATACAGAAAGCATTTCTATTAGGCATATATGTAAGTAGGTAATCTGCCCCATCCCTCCAGCCAATGGCCGCCGGGTGGCCCCGGGCTGGAGGCTGGAGGATTCCTCCAGGCTGAATCGCCCCTCCACGATCGTTTCATGTCCAGGGAGATGAAGCGTAGCATCGAGTGTCGCCGTGAACGTGTCACGTTATGATATGCTGATGAATAAAGTTATATATCCCGTAAAAAGGTCTGAATGGCCCGCTCACCGCCCGACTGAAGCAGCACCCGCAGACACCGCGAACTGTAGGTGGTGGCGGCCGCGTGCAGAGGCGTGCGGCCCCACGAGTCGCGTGAGCCAATGTGCGCGATCTCCTCGCTGGCTAGGAGGTCCTCCAGAAGCTCGGCATTGTCCCACAGCGCCGCCTGCGGACAGGTGGCGGAGGAAACGAGGCTAGAGTGCATATACATGGGATGCCGCTGCTGGCTGGTAGCCGCCAGCCAGCATTTTGGTATGGTGATTTGCCATGCTGTGAATGAAATGATGTCAAAGATGGACTGGTTGGGCATATCAAATCATTGACAGGCATGATAAAAGCTGAATCAGCTGAATTCATGAGTATGAAAAACTATGGAACTTCAATAGTAGAATGGCAAGAGTAATGTAGAGAATGACACAACCAGACTACTAGGCTTCCAGCTGCTTGGCAGAGTAGGTATATTCATAGAAGCTTACCTGGTGGAGCAGCCTGCCTGGGAACTCATCTGAATCTTCAGATGACATCTTGTCTATATCAGCTTACATCTGTAAACATGGGATACCTAGATTTAAAAGCCAGGTAGGCATAAAAAGATGTCACTCTTCACATCACACCAATTTGTAATTAACTCTGATTGAATGCAGCACAAAATGTAAAGTACTTGATTTATATATTCATGCATTCATGCTAGAGTCTGACACACTCCCTGATGTGATCAGGCATCCCACATAGGCATCCCATTAGATTATCTAGTGTTCCCACACTGATCTGACTAAAAGCCTTCTGCGGGATGCTAAAAATTATTTCATGAGTCAATCAAGGTCAGCTCCATCTTATCCAGATTCTTTTGCACAATTGGTCAGAAATTTGCAATAAGACAGGCCAGGGCTGCTGTCCTACCACATCAGATAAACTAACTAGAAGTGAGAACACACTCGCAGTTAATGAGCAAAAACACTTCCACTAAAAGAACCAAGGCACAGATGAATGTATTCAGCACATGGGTCAACAAAGAAATTTTGGTACAAAGGGATGATTTAAGAAACTTTGACACAAGACCACAACATTTACCTATGCAGTTTGTGGCTATAACTACCTGGTTAATACATCAGGTTAGATTAGGTTTTGGTATTTCTACTCATAAAATAGGTACCTATCACAAACTATTTGAGCCCAGGATACAAAAGGCAACTTTCACCCATTCAGTAGATTTAAGAAGGCATAAGCCAATGTATTATAAGTTTAAAAATAAACACTATGAATTCCAATTTCCATGATACATTTACCAACTCTTTTTCAGTAAAAGGCAGTACACATATTCAGCATATTGAATGACATGGAAGCCAACATGAGTTTAACAAGTTTAATCTAAATCCAATGAAAAAGAGGACAGCATGCGCTAGGAGAGAGTGGGACTGGGTATGTTTCGGACAGCAGGATAGTCAAGGCAAGTAAAAATTCAAGATAGCAGCAGCAGCAGCGGGGTGTTTTGTCACGCTCAGTAGGCCAACACTTGACCCCATACAGCGGCCAGGTTCCAAGGGCGCTTGAACACGAGGTGCATTGTTTTCCTTTTTGAAAAACGTGATGTAATATTAAACATGTGATCATAGTATTCAGTATCTCTTAGACTGCGACTGTTTGGCTGTTTGTTTGTTTATTGGGGCTTAAGGGCACGCCGACTACAAGGTCATTTTGCACCCATAGCGACTGTTTGGGTTTCAACCCACCACCACGGGTGGGTTGAAGTCAGGCAGATGATGGGGCAGCTTCAGACAGTGGGGAGCCCTCTCCTTGTGTGTGGGGTGTTTTTGGACACCTGACCCAAAATTTACGCATCTCCTACTTGAACTTTCACATTTCAAGCCAACTTGAACTCCTTTATTTCCTGCTAATTATGAAGGATACACATGGGACCAACAGGGGCACTATTTGCAGTTCACCAAACCTGAAAAGTTACTGAGCAAACAGCCTCTACAGAAAAGGTGTCCAAACTATGCCCACCTTCCCCTATAACAATAACCTAAAACAAAGTAAAGTGTGTCATGAAATCAAATGATCAAGTAGGTACCTACCTGATATTCAGACAAACATTCTTCAATGTCTTCTTCATTAAGTACAAGACCAAATACAGCTTTAAAATGAAGCTTCAAAATTACATCCACTTTAAAGAGAGCATTAGCATTATGATTCAAAAATAAATGTGCAATATGGTTCCCAAACGCAACCTAAACATACACCAATGCCCAAGGCTATAGAACTCCAGGTAAGGACACCAGCCGTTTGACCTTGAACGCCGCCGGCCGGCCGATGACGTCATTGGAGGCAAGCCGGCTCGGCGGACACACAGGGCGAATGCATAACGGAGGGGCGTTGGAACGTTGCGGGAGCCAGGGAGATATTTTAAAGTGGTTGCATACCACCATTGTTTGTTGATTGATCTACAGACTGCATCCTTTTAAACCTCGGTGCATCCTAGGCACCGAGGTTTAAAATGAAGTACATTCGTGGAACGATCACCCCGTCCGACGTCCGTGGTCGAAGCTGTCATAGTACTAAAGACACTAAGACGGGTGCAATAACGGCGATCCGATCCCGTCTCTGGCGAATTTAGAGGGGTCGTAAGGACCCAGGCCGAATCTGACCGTCTATTTTTAGGGAAACTGGGTGGGTGAATGGACAACCGATGGCTTAAGAGATGATGAGAAGGGATCCGTCGTCGATTGTTGTTTGACAGACAACACATGTTGTACTGGGCGTATGACCATCAGAGGTAATGCCTGAACGTAGGCAAGCATAATTGGTCTGTCATATTGTTTAGGAATATACAATGGTAATGGAGATCATTGAGGATCTCTACATTACGGGAATTCACTAATTACTACGGCCCATAGGGGCACCGCCGGAGCTGTTGTTTTGCCATCGGTCCCAGGCAACTCCAGGGAGCTGCAGTACCCGGCGGCCAAAGCGGCCACCTCGTCGACTCGCAGGTCCTCTGGGATTCCGTGATGCTTTAGTGCTTCACCCACAGAAGCACGGGCATAGCAATTAGCAGTAGGATGTGGGGCTAGGTGTCTGTCCACCTCTTCATTCAAAGAACAACGTGTACAGCGCCTGGTCCCGCCGAAGCTCGGTATCGACCGTGACTTAACCCTATTCCTGGCGGGCTCCGCCGGGACAAGAAACTGGCGGGGGGGGCCGATTCGGCCCCCCCCCCCCTGAGATCTCGAGAACAAAGCAAGATAGCGACAAGCGGTAAACGGCATCGGATACGCATGGACAAGGTCTACAATTTTTAGAAAGGTCATTTTCAGGTCAGGTCAAAGATGACGTCACAGGGGTCGAAAAAGTCAAAATGGCGGCGCTAGATATGGAGAGAGTTTTTCTCGAATAACTTTCGAATTAGTCAAGATAGGAACAAACGAAGGGCATCATCGTGATCCTCTCGTCAATCCGCATCGAATGATATATATGTTGACCTCGAAAGGTCAAGGTCAAAGGTTGACCTCAGGTCACGTGACCTCGAGGTCATCATGTATATCAATCGATGCGTCTTGACGAGCTGAACACAATGAGACCATCCACGCGTCTGTATCTTGTTCCTGTACGGAGTTATTGGCCAAAAACCTTTGGTGACCTTTGATGACGTCACATGACCTCACAGCTGCCCAACAGCAAAACAGACCTCAAGGTGGTGAAGGTTGATCGTATATGAAGTCATGTATGGTATATGGGGCCATTCCGACCCGTTTTAGTGGTAAAAACAGGGAGTTGATTTTTCCCCCATTGACTTATAATGGGGAGGTCGCGAAACTGACCTGACCTTAGGTCACCGATATCAAAATTCCGAGATATACAAATTGCACATACTGGTACCCTAACTAAAGCCTGAAGAGAAGAAATTGATCGGTCAAAAACTCTAGCTCTGGCGTGATTGCAAACTTTTCTGAGGTAGGGTCACCAAACCGCCTCTGGTGACCTGACCTGAGGTCAGATCAACTCAAAATTTTCAGACATGTTGCGTAGAAGCCTTTTAGGAAAAGTCAGAAAATTTGAGCTTCCTAGCTCAACGCGTTTGGGAGAAATAACCAAAAAACCTCAGGGGGGGGGCTCCTGAGACCCCCCCCCCGCCAGGAATAGGGTTAATCACAACTGGCGGATCCAAGAAACGGTATTGGACACTGCGGGGGCTTTATACCCCAAAAAGGTTTCTCGGAATTAATTTAAAAAAAAACTCGGATTTCGATTCCTTGCGCACTGCTGTGCGGTGTGATTAACCAACATTTCCTCAGAAAAGTTGTGAAGTTTTCATTTATTCTCGAAAATCGATTTCGGGCGCTGCCCTGGTTGTTGGGGAAGACATTTGCCCCAAATGCCTTCCCCTGGATCCGCCAGGCCGTTGCCCCACTCCGAGCTTGATTAAAGACGTCTTCAAACCTCACCAGAAACCGATGGTAAGGTGAATTTAAATCCAATAACTCATCTCTGTCTGCCCGCCTAAATATACTACACATGGTACAGCACCCGGCCCTGTCGGAGCTATGAGCCGATCGTGATAATTTCGGCTTTCCCCATTCCAAGCTCGATTAGAAACGTTCTCCTTCCCCACCCGATTGCTGATGTCAATTCAAATTCAATGCCTCATCTCTGTCTGCCCGACCATAACCCATTCATTGCACACCGTTCAGCGCCCGGCCCCGCCAGAAGTATCCTAGCGCGCTGAGCAGTTGCCTCCAGCCGCGTCATCGCGAGGCCCCGCGCGGCCCATAAATGAATACATTGCGCGAAAAGCCGTGTCGCCCCCCTGCCAATGCCATTGTTCAACACGTTCACATAGGAATCTACGGAATCTTTCAAGGCAAGTGTTCATTTTAGCGTTTGCTGCTGCTAGGGAACAACCACTAGCATTCTTCACCACGCTGGACATCGAACGTTTGGAAACCGCGATTTCCTTCTCGTCTCCAAAAGAACACTTTTTTGTTATGGTTCACGTCCGCAACTATCGCGCAGTATTTGACTGCACAACTTATAGTGCTGCTAGAAAAAGTACTTCAAACGAATGAATCGATTACTTTCATTCCTTTCAAGCGATGATGATGAAAAATGCTCTACCAACTTATCCATGTATTTTGACAGCAAACTTGTTCGATAGCAAGCTACATTATTTAGAAAAGTACGGAAATTAGGAAAGATTAAAGCTGACGGTTTTCTAATCAGACCCGGTACCAGCCCGGTACCAAATCGTAGAAAGCACACTGCACAGGTGCACATCTTACTATGAGGCACCGCACTGGCGGATCCAGAGAGGTGGTCTTGGACGCTGCGGAGGGGGAAGAGGACAAACCACAAAGTCAAAAAACGTTTCTCAAAATTAAAAAAAAATCGGATTTCGACTCCTTACGCAGTGCGCTGCTATGCAGTTTAAACAAACTTTAAAAATAAAAGTTGTTAAGTTTTCGCTTTTTGGTCGAAATATCGCAAATTTTGGTCCATTTCAATTTATGGCGTTGCGGGGAAGATCCACCGCAAATTCCCCCGCCCCCCGGATCCGCAAGTGAGGCACCAGACTGAAGCATTTTTTTAAACAAAATCGAAAATAATAAGAGGTAATAATCCTTCTCTCATATCAATATGCATTTTTCCCCACTAAGGTTTTTCGAAGATAGCGTAAAAACGGCGGCGCGCAGCGCCGCCAAATTTGACACAGCCTATGGGGCAACCTTTTTACATATCACCTAAAAATTTCAGGTTCGGGTGATCAGGTCACCAGGTGAGAGAAACCGGTACAAAGTGATGGTCAAATTCCAATTTTATTTATGCACCAGTCCAACTCACAGTTTTAGACTGATTTCCTTCAAACTTTCAGGAGGTGCTAAGCTTACCGAGTTGTATAACATATAGTTCATTTTTATGTCACTGACCTGAGGTCAGAGAGGTCATTACGTCGTAATGATAAGCCTATGGGAAAATATTCTTTTTATATCGTCAACCATGAATTCCACGTGTGCCGTATACGACTGGCCAAAAAATGGCTTCATATATTTCAACTTACCAGCTACAAGAGCATGATTTCAAAGCCAGAAAATGCTGACTCCGACTTAAAAGTCAAGGTCCTGAAACGATTTCAGCGACTCTAGCTCTGACTCTGGCCAGAACTAACTGTCAACTCCGACCGACTCCGGCTCCGACCCACGCAGTCCTGCAATTGCTCTACACAAAATTTCGAACTTCTAGGAAATAAATTATACGGTTAAAGGACCACAATTTTTTAGAAGCAGGGCAACTTGACTTGGTGACCAGACCTAAGGTATTCTGGGATGAAACTTGTCACACGGGCTGCAAAATTTAAACGTTTTGGAGCTGTTTGCCAATTTATTTTGCCAATTTTCGCGCATACCCGAAACCATAAACCTCTGTATACATAGGTCTATGAAACAAAAAGAAATTGTGAGTAGTGACCAATAAAGCAACCCTCATCCCGTTATGTATGCAGTAGGCATGCATCAACAGTTGCCTATACCCTGATAGAAGACCAGAGGCGTTGCCCTTAACCATTTTTAATTGAATCCGACTTCAAACATGTACTGTGCAGGAATTCGGTCCATTACCATTAGACATATAATGCATCGGCCTGAAAAAGTACGGTAACAATGCCTAACTTTCGGTTTTTATTCAGCCGATCCGTCCCCCTGTCAAAACAGAAAACTAATCCGTGTTATCGACAACCCTGGGTATTCGTCGTCTTCATGCAAAATATAACGAAAAGTTTATCTGTGCGAACAATTCCTTTACAGTAAAACAACAGTATTTCGACATTAATTTAAGTCAGACTAGCCGTTTTCACGATGGGCTATCCGGCGAGTGCACCTAATTTGACCAAAAATGCATTAATCTCTTTTACAGCAAATATCTTTATTTTATGAATTTTTTTCAGTGTTTTAATCGATGATACTCTCTGATAATATGACAAAGCAGGGATTTAAGCAATTAGTGCACTGTGCAGCCCTAGCTGATAGCTACTAAAGAGACACACTGAGCCTATAATTTGACCAAATCTGCACCTAATTGGCACCAAATGTGTACCAGATGGCCGTCGTGAAAACAGCTACTAGGTTATAATCAGATTCACCCATGACAGCGGTCGTTCGCCAGCTATAAGTGCGTCAATTCCGAGTCAGCTTGTTTCGGTGGGAGCACATGGTATAGCTCGAAATGCATTCAGCGAGTTTATATGTATAGTAATGTTCTCTGGCATATTTGCCCCGAGACACGAGTGCGAGGGTTAATCTATTGTCCACGAGGGCTTCCGATAAGAATCGACGTTTAAAGCTTGACGAGAATGCAGGGACCGCGGATTCAAATTCTCGTAGGGTGTGCAAGATGTGGCGACTGGGCCCCCCATCTCACGCCGGGCCCCTTCCAAAAAGTCAGCGCCGCCACTGCTCCGGAATAAGCCGGTTCTAAGGAAGCGGGGCGGGAAAACCTTCAAAATTGACGGTCGTAAGATGACTGAGCGAGCATCTTACGGTCAGGAGATGCACGAGCAGAGTAAATGCACATGCATGCATGCAACGTGATCCAAATCGATCTCCGATTTTACCAAGCAGGCCCCTAAAGGCTTACAGTGACCTTCAAGGGCCCCTACGGGCCTCAGAGAGACCTTTTGCACAGTTGATGTTGGCACACTTCTTTTTATCATGGATTACATGAATTAGTTTAAAAATAAAACACGGCCGGCGGGATGTTTGGGCCCATCGATTTGGCCCCTATGACCTATGGGGGTCTGGCCTCCGGCCCCCCTTAGCTTCCCCATTGCTCTACGGTCCACACGCTGGCTTTGGGGCCCCATAAAGGCCGCACGCCAGCTCCTGAGACCCAACGCCGGCAATTCTAAGGGTCACCGGCGCACCGCACACGGTCTTTGAAGGTCCCATAACGGCCTCTGGAATACCTCATGTACAGTCCACAGCAGAAGTAATGTGGGGTTTCAGTCATGGGTATGTTCTGCTTCTGAAGCTTAGGAACGATTAGCCAGACTACAATGAAACTTTGAATGTAGCTTATATGTATCGTCACCCTTGCAGCTGCAACTTTAGCTATTGACATCTTTTCGATCACTCCGCATTAACCCGCGCCCTGCTGGGGGGGGGGGGGGTGTTTGAACACCCCCCCTTGTGGTTTTTCGCGAATATCTCAAGCGCCGCGCCGCCGTTTTTGGTATACCTTATCATACATCAATTCTACACATGTTGTGAAAATTTCAGACCAAGGTCATTCAAGGTCAGGTCACCAGGTCACTTGAAGTGACCTCACCTCATAAAAAGTTTCAATGTCTGTCATAGCTACACCGAGTGACCGATCGCTTTGAAACTTTCAGCGATTGATAAGAGTAACAGTATCTATAAAATTTTTATCTCGGAATTTTGATATCGGTGACCTAAGGTCAGGTCAATTTTGCGACCTCCCCATTATAAGTCAATGGGAGAAAATTGAAATGCGCCTCTTTTGGACGAAAGACATTATAAACACTCCCAAACACTGAATTACAAGTGGTTTAGACACACTGAACATGAAAATGGTGTCCGTGACCCTTGTTTATGCCCTGAGGTCATCTTAGGTCACGAATTGTATCTAACAGTTTTTCGCAAATAACTTTTGATAGAGGCATGCTAGAGCGATGAAAACGCCTTAGCTGTGTTCAGCTCGACGATACGGATCGACTGATATGCAACATGACCCTTTCCGGTCAGGTCATGACCTTGACCTGAGGTCAAATTTTCAAGTTGACCTTTCAAGGTCAAGTAATAGTTCATTCGATGCGTCTTGACGAGAGGAACACGATGCCGGTAAAAGTAAGCTCGTACAAGGCTTGGGTCAAAAGTTATTGCCAAAAAACTGTTTCCAAAAAAAAATCGGCTATTTTTGCAGTTTTTGCCCCCTGCAGGCAAAACCGTTGACGTTAGGTCAAATCTGAGAGAATTACTCAGAAAGGGCGTTAATAGGGCTATCGAATGCGCTTTTCCGCGGCGCTGTAGCTCTATTGGTTCCCGAGTTATGCGTTGGCTTCTTGGAAATTTTCGATATTCGACCTGGAAATCGGCGAAATCTTGCCTTCAATGACCTCTGGTGACCTGACCTTTGACCTGACCAAAAAATTGACCGAAGTGATTTCGTCATTATTTTTGACGCTCTTTCGAACGCCGCCTTCCGCGTATCGCTACGTGGCCCAGGAGCCGAGTTACAAGGGGGGGGGGTGTTCAAACACCCCCCCCCCTAGCAGGGCGTGGAAATCCAGGACCCCCAGCCGGGCGCGGGTTAAGCAATCGCCAGTCAAAGCCAACCGTTGAGATTGGTGAAACCCTACATTACTTTAGCGGTGGGCTGTACATAGAACTAGATGCCGGCAGCGCTCTTGCGTTGCCTTGGGCCAGAATTGGAGGAACGGTGCTGAGGGCACACACCGGGCAAAACCACCGAAACCCAGACTGAGCTTGGACTGAACCTGAAACCAACCGAAACATCCCAAAAATGCTTGAAAGCACGCGAGATTGGTGTGGATATCTACCCACAGTAAGATATGAATTAAATGCACGTGCATAGTTCATGCCCCAGGCACCCCAGTGCAGTCATTTTCATGACATCATGTAGCGTGTGTCTAGTTCTATCAGTGTACCGACTTTTGTGTCGCTAGATCGACGTTTCCCGGGATCAGAGGATCCCTCGTCAAAACCGTTATCCGCCCCCCGCACGCGCAGCTTGCACCCCTCGGATATTATCTCGCCGGAATGTCGTGATCAAATGTATTCTTCTTATGACCTGCAAGTTTTGAACC